AAACTCAGATCTTTAAGGGACCTCAATTCCAAAGAAGGTTTATGAGCTATTCAACCAAGGAAAGTCACATGTATTTTCTCAACTGTTTCTTATTGCTCAAACTTGCTCCGTGTCCATGTTCAGCTCTCATGCTTTGTTAAAACCACAGCTTTAAATATATAATCTTTAATATTTAACAGGAAAAGCCACCTGCACCATGAGAATACAGTAGCAGTGCAGTGAAAGCCAATAAAGTTTGGTATAAAACAAGACATAAATTGGGATTGCAGATTTGTTATATTAAAAACATGCCGTTTTAATCTTATTCCTAATTTTAAAAAGTAAAACAGACACAAAAACCCATTACAGCCAGTTATTCAGAATATTGTCACAAATGATAAGCTATCTGGGTTTAATTGAACCAACTCAGTGTTTTTTTTTTAAAATTTATTTCATTATCTGAAAATATTAAAACTGTAACTCATAAAAACTGCTCAGATATAATCACTGTTTTTGTGATGAATGCAAGGAACCAAGTTTATTGCAAAAAAGTTACTCCCCTGTTTGAATATTGGGGGGTGTATTGCTCCAGATGCTCCACTGCTTAGGCGCCGATGGCAGTGTGGCATCTTGCTTCCTGCCAAGGACCCTCTGCAAACAGACTTTTGTGTCTTTTCCTCATTCTGCAAAGTGAAACCCCAATGAACAGAAGCTCCCTCTCATCAATCTCATTCTTTCTCCTGTTTGTACATGCTTGTGAAGTGTTTAAACACATAGGACTGCATATATACAGTAGATGCTGTATGATATGTTAATACTAAAATCACTTTGTGGAGTGTAAATAATGCACATATTGCACGTGGTTTGGGAGGAGGAAGAAATCCCTCTTGGTTAGGAATCCTGAGGTGGTTGTGACAGCTCTTCCTGCGCAGTTTTATTTATTTTTTTAATAAACATGCAATACTTACCTTTAATGAGATTTTGTTGTGCAGCTAAGCTAATAGCAGTGGCGATTTTAGTCTTTTTTTGAGCACCCCTAAAATTTAACTCAGCACCCCTGGGGA